GGTGTTAATCCTCTACCAGAGAGTAGCTGACAAAGTTTTCTCCCATTCTGTAGATTCTCTCTTTACATCCCAATGGTTTCTTTTGCTGTGTAGAAGCTTTTCAATTTGATGCCATCACATTTATTAATTTGGGGCATTATTTTCTGAGCTTTAGTGGTCCTACAGAGAAAATCCTTGCCTGTGCCTATATGCTGGAATGTTGACCCTACATTTTCTTCTAGGAGTTGGATAGTTTCTGGTCTAATTCCCAGGTCTTTGATTCATTTTGAGTTGGCTTTTGCACTAGGAGAGAGAGAAGGGTCTAGTCTCATTCTTCTACATGTGGACAATAAGTTTTCCTTGCACCATTTGTTTAAAAGGCTGTCTATTCTCCAATGTATGTTTTTGGCACCTTTGTCAAAGATCACATGACCATGTCTCTGTGGGTGTGTCTCTTGTGTCTTCTATTGTCCCATTGCTCTATGTGTCTGTTTTTATAACAGTACCATGCTGTTTTTGTTATTATATCTTTAGAGTATAATTTGAAGTCAGGTATTGTGATGGCTCTGATATTGCTTTTTGGGGGGCTTATAATTGTTTTGGCTATTCTGTTTTTTTTTATTCTTCCAAATTTTAGGATTGTTTTCTCTAGTTCTGTGAAGAATGTCACTGATATTTTGATGGAGATTGCATTGAATCTGTGTTATTTTTTTTGGTAGTATGACCATTTTAACTGTATTAATTCTGCCTATCCATGAAGATGTCAGTCTTTCCTCCTTGGATTTTATTTAATTTCTTTCTTTAATGTTCTATAGTTTTCATTTTAGATGTCTTTCACCTCCTTGGTTAGATTTATTCCTAGATTTATTTTAAAGACTATTATGAATGGGATTGTTTTCCTGATTTCTTTCTCAGCAGATTCATTATCGATGTATAGGAGAACTATTGATTTTTGTATGCTATTTTGCAACCTGCTACTTTGCTAAATTTTCTTGTTAGCTTTGCAGTCTTCTGGTAGAGCTTTTTGAATATTGTAAATTTAGGGTTGTATATGCAAACAGTGATAATTGACTTCTTCCTTTCCTGTTTTATCCCTTTTATTTTCTTCTCTTTCCTAATTCCTCTGGCTAGAATTTCCAGTATTATGTTGGAAAGGAGTGGTGAGAATGGATATATTTGTCCCAAATATTTAAGGAAATACTTTCAGTTCTTCCCTTGAACATATAAAATGTTTTTTGTTTGTTTGTCTGTTTTGTTTTGTTGGTACTAAGAATTGAACCCAGAGATGCTTAATCACTGAGCTACAATTTTACAATTTTGAGACAGGGCCTTGGGGTCTGAGGCTGGCTTTGAGCTTTCCATCCTCCTGCCTCAGTCTCCCAAGCCACTGGTATTACAGGCATGTGCCACTGCACCTGGCTCTTAGAAGTTTTTAAAAATTTGTCATTGATGCTGTGGGATATAGTTATGTTGGATATAACAACCTTGGTCGACAGTTATTTTCTTTCAGGACTTGGAACTCATCATTCCAAACTGTCCTGGCTTTTAGATTTCTTGCTGAGAAATCGAAATAATTCTGATTAGCTTTCCTCTAAATGTGACTTAACATTTTTCTTTTGATGCTTTTAACATTCTATCCTTGTTATGTTAAGCATTTTATATAATGCATTGTGGAGAGTTTCTTTTTTTGATTTTATCTATTTGGAGTTCTGGATGCATCCTATATCTGCATGTCCATTCATTTTCAAGATTTGAAAATCTTTCTGTTATTATTTCCCTAAAAGGATTCATTCCATTAGCCTACATTTCACAACACTGATCATTTACAATGATGCTTAAATTGAGTTTCTATTATGGTTTAGATATGAGGTATCCCTGAAAAGCTTGTGTGTGAGACAATGGGAAGAAAGTTTAGAGGTGAAATTGGGTTATGCAAGCCTTCACCTAATCAGTGCATTAATCCACTGATAGAGATGAACTGGGTAGTAACTATTGGTAGATAGGGTGGGCTGGAGGAGGTGGGTCACCAGGAGCATGCATATCTTTGGGGTTGATATTTAGTCTGTGGTGAGAGGAGTTTCTCTCTGCTTCCTGATGCTTTCCTCTATCACATCTTTCTGCTTTGATGTTCTGTCTCACTTTGGGTCCAGAGCAATGACATTTGCATCTACAGATTAAAACCTCTGAAACTATGAACCCCAAATAAACTTTCCCCCTCTATGTTGTTCTTGACAGGTCTTTTGGTCACAGTAGTGAAAAAGCTGACTGCAGCAGTCTCTTAGTGTCCCAGAGTAATTGTATATTCTGACATGGTTACTTCTTTTCTTTTCCTTAATACTGTCTGAATGTTCAAGGCTGGCCACTTTGTCTTCCAACTCTGAAATTCTGCCTACTCCATTAGAGAAACTTGCAACTAACATTTATTTGATTTATTTATTGTATCTTTCATTTTTAAGATTTCTGTTTGGTTGTTTTTCACTATTTATATTTTATTATTTAATTTCTCATTCATTCTTGCACTGACTTCCTTAATTCATTCAGTTGTTTTTCTGAGTTCTCTAGTAATCATTTTCATAATTTTTCCTTTACATTTTGGATTTGGTTATTTCATCCACTTTAATCTCTTTGAATCCAGTTGCTGGTGAATCATAAACTTCAGGAGGTATTGTGTTACTTTGTTTTTAATATTTCTTGTATTCTTGTGTTGGGTTTCATGTATCCTTTGGGATGAATTTCTCCTATATTCTCATTCCTGAGCCTTTTAGGGCACTGCCTTCTCTTGTCAAAGTGTCCCAGAGTGATCTAGATTGATACCCATCATGGGTGGCATCCATAGTCTTTGTGTTAATTGTTTTTGTTTCCACTGTAGCTATCTGGAGTGGGACATGAGGGCCTCCCCTAGCCCTTCCTACTTGGAGCCTGGTCATTAGTTTGGGAGTTTCATCTCTTCTATTCTTTGTATTAATGTATTTCTGAAGGTTAATTCATGTGTGGAGCAAGGTGTATTGTCTGTGTCTGTCTTTAGCTCAGCAGTAGAGTCTCTATCCTTTGATCTTGTAGTGTCCCTGCAGATTCCCAGAAACTTACTGAGAAGTAGTACTTCCACTGATCAAATCCTGATCCACAGGGCAATTGGAAATGCAGCCTTCCTCTAACTGATGTCTTAAATTTTTCAGAAATTTTGTTTGGACATAATTTTCAAGTAATCACAGTTACCAACAAAATTTCCATAAACAATAATAACTTCCATACTGGGAAGCTCTCCCAGAAGCCTGCTATATGTGGTTTTATTTCCTCTGTAGAAAGGCCACTGGTTCTTTTCATAAGTCCTTATTCTTCCTTAGATCTTTCCCCCTAAATTCACTTCTATAACCATAAAAGTACCTGATTTGGCAGCACTTCTTTCAGGAAAGTTTTTATTTTCATCATTTAAATTCAGAATTTATCAGTGATTCATAGCTCTTTTTTGAATAAAGATGCTACTGAATATATATAAGATTTTCATAAGTTATTATTCATAAATCTAGGTTCAAGCTATGTTTCATAAATGAACATAGAAATAAAACCTTTATTTTTAACTGCCACACAGAATCAAAAACCCTAGGCAAGGAAATCATAATATGAATCATATTACAAAGTTAGTAATTATAACCCCATTCTGTGTGAATTTGTATTTTCACATATCAGTTGGCTTAAAGAGATGCACATATTTAGTATCTTAAAATTCAAGTAGTAAGTGCTTTCAAAAGGCATAGAAAATTTAATTTAGAATTTGGTAAAGAGTTTACCTCTGTTTTCAACTAATGAGAACTGCTATCAGTGTTTTGAATGTTTTGTACCCTTGGAGCTACCTCACTAGGTAGTTGCTTGATTTCTAACTTCATTTTTCTTGGCTTAAGTATTACAGGAATGGGAGATATTTATTGTACCCAAACCCACCCCAGCTGAGAGGACAGATATGTGTGATGGTCATATTTTTCTGTGAAGGGAAAAGGACTTGGAAGGAGATCCTTGAGGTGGTGAATACCTTGAATATCACCAACAAGAGCGCATTTGTGACAATCACCATGATTTGTCTGATGGACCCACACACTTACACATGATGGATGGGGAGAGACACCCCTGCCTCCACCCCCTGAGGACCCCAAAAGATTGCAGAGGTGCAGATGTGCTTCTCCACCCACCCCACTTCCCAGGAGCAGGGTGAGCAGGGTGAGCCCGGGCATGGCACTGGGGCCCTATAGCTTTTCTAGGTCCCTGTTCCCTCCTGGTCTCCACAGAAGACACTCTTGAAGATGTTGGCCCTAGGCCACCCACCATGGGTGTTGCTGCCGGGGAGTTGGGCTCTCAGGCCAAGGGAGGCTGTGCAGGGACTTCTCTGCCCCATGCCCAGAGTCTCCCTGAGGGTCTCAGGGCAAAGTCAGGTGCCATTCACCATGAGGACCCGAAGCAGTCTGAGGCAGTCTAGCATGCTGGCCCTCCCAGGAAGCTGCCCCACCCTGTGGTGGGGGCTCTGTGAGCGAGCCTGGGCTGGGAGCTGTGGCCAGCGAGAATGTTCAGAGTGGAGTCAGTGTGTGTCTTAAATGAGTCTGTTTTAAACCAGGCAACCAAGAACCTTCAGATCAGACTGAGCATTATCAGCTTGGGCTAAATGCCTCAGGAGTGGGAATAATGGAGTCTCAAAGAGAAATCTGTGCAGCATCAGGAAATAAGCATGTCTTAATTGCACATAAGTGCCTCCACAGCCTCTGCATTATTTGGGGCCAGCATTCCTGCGGCCTGTGAAATTCTTCCTTCCTCCCCCACTGCTGGTGTCCTGGAACCACAAGGTCATCTGTGTATCCTAAGTGCTGTATGGGGACCAGGTCTTCTGTGGAAAGAGACTTAAAAATTCACTGGAAGGGATCACTAAAATGTTTTTTAGCCTCAAAGATGAACCAAAGGGGACTCTAAATAACAGGCAAGTCCCCTGTTTTAGTTGGCTTTTTTGCCACTGTGACTAAAAGACCTGACCAGAACAATTGTAGAGGAGGAAAAGTTTATTTAGGGGCTCATGGTTTCAGAGGTCTCAGTCCCTAGACAGCAGGCTCTGTTCCTCAGGGCTCAAGGTGAGGCTGAACATCATGGAGGAAGAGTGTGGTGGAGGGAAGCAGCTCACATGATGATCAGAAAGCAGAGAGATAGACTCCACTTGCCAGATACACAATTTAAGCCCCAGAGGCACACCCCCATGGGCCCCCTCCTCCAGCCACACCCCATGTGCCTTCAGTTACCACTCAGTCAGCCCCCATCAGGGGATTTCTTCACTAATTGGGTTAAGGCTCTCATAACCCCATCATTTCCCTGCTAAGCCTACTGCAGTCTCACACTGAGCTTTCGGGGGACACCTAATATCCAAACCATAATCACTCCCCCTTCATCATTGCCACATAAAACTCACTTCCACACCCATGGTACAAAGGGCTGCCCTGGGGAGGTAGCAAGGAGCCATGCGGGTTGGTGACAGTGTGTAGCACTGACAAAGGCAGCCCCGGGACATGCTGGCCTATCCTGGGCTTTTTAGCCTGGGCAAATGGATTTCGATCCCCTGAACCTGGGCAGTGTGTGGCAAAGACTGTCCTCAGGAGGTGGATGTGCAGGAGGCCACAGCACCTGTGTGACAGAGAGCGACGGGGGCCTCTCATCAACGGATGGGGCAGTGCTGCTCCGGCCAGAGGGGGGACGTTTGTGCTGTGGGATGTCTGCAGGAAGGCTGAGGGGTTAGGGGACAGTCATGCTGGGCTGGGCTGGGCTGGGCTCTGGCAGACGGACATGGAGATGGTGCTGAGCCTCTCACCTGCTCGTCATTTTCTTTGCTTCTGTATCTGATCTAGTTCAAGTCCATATGGATTTCCAGTTTCCTGGGCTCTTGAGAAGCCAGATGTCTTTCTGCTGTGTCTCATGTACTCCTGGGTTTCAGGATAAAATTGCTGTTCTGGAAGCCACCAGTAATCCAGTGGATGATGTCCCCGGAATCAGACCACTGGAAAAGAAGCAAATGATTGTCAGCCGGTCAGAGAAGTGTTCCTCCTGACTTTCTCCAGAAGAAAAGAAGATTTCAGAGACTCCCCCACCCCTGGAAGACTTCCCTGTGCCTCCTCGGTCAGGACTCCCCACCTGTTTCTGACTCGTCCAGGAAACCCCCAACTCTCTGCCGTCAAGGGAACATGTCTGATGGATGCACAGAATCTGATTCAGTTGCCAAAGAAGGAGGGAAACTGCTTTGTTCTGACTATGTCCCCTCCAAAAATTCATGTCACAACCAAGTTGAAAAAAAAATCGAAATGTGGCAGTGATAGGAGGGTCCTTTGGAGTGATTTGGTCATGAGGCAGAATGCTCATGAAGGGGATTAGGATCCCTATAAAAGAGCTTGAGATCACTCTTCTGACTCATATAAGGACACAGCACTCATCCCCTTTTGCCCCCTTCCTTCCTTCATGGGAAGATGCCACCCTGAGAAGATGCCATCATGACACAATGAACCTGTGGACACCCCAACCTTAGACTTCCCAGCCTTAGAACTGTGAGACATCTATTTCTGAATAAATCAGTCTTGGGTATTTTGTTATAGCAGCATGACTAAGTCAAGACCATGTTTTTAAGGTAAGCCATGAGCAGAGTGTGCCTCTGGCATTTCATCCCACACATTGTCCAATGCACGGGTCTCACTTTCAGCAGTGAGGGCTTCCAGTGAAACAGAGGAGAGGGAGTTCCCTTGAAACATACCACCCCTCCTGAGGGGTCATTTGCACCTGTGATTCAGGCCTCGATCTTTAAGCTTCCCTGCTCAGATAGAAGGAAGCGTGTCAAGCTCATAAATGATCAAGGGTGCATCTCAACTTCTCTCTGTCACATGAAAAGGATGTTGTTCTCCACCATTGCACAGTTCCGCTCCAAGATGATGCATGCAGAATTCCTCACTTGGAAACACTCTGCCTTGTTAGGCCAATGCATTGGAAAGGGACCAGGTACCAAACTATCCGCAAATCAAAGTGGAGCAGCGTGACCTACATCTTACAGCCAATAGTAGACTCATTCTGGAATTTCCCCTGAAGAGAACTCATTAATGCCTATACTTATTTTATTGCTGTGAACACTGAGGCACCAAGAAATAAAGTAACCAAGTCACATTAGGGAGGAAGAGGGAAACTGGGATTTGAGGCAGGCAGGAAGTCTGTCCTTCCTTCAACCTTGCTTATTTATGTGCGTGTAACTTACTCTAATGAATGACACCTGTAAGGCAGAAAATGGGCTGAGATTGAAGACAGGACTGTATGTTCAAATCCTCAGAGCTCTTCTGGGGTCATCTGGATGCCCTGGATGGAAGCAATTTTATCGCCTCTTCTGAACTCTCATGACATTTCATCTCTGTCCCTGTCTCGTGTGGCATTATGTCCTCCAAAAAGACATCTTCATATCCTAACCCTGCAACCTGTGAATATGACTTTGTTTGGAAATAGGATCTTTGGGGATGTCTCAAGTCAAGATGAGTTCATACAGGATTTAGGGTGGCAATGCAGTGACTGGTGTCCCATGGAAGTCATGTAAAAGTACGGAAACTCAGAGATGCAGAGAGGAGGGCTCCATGTGAGTCCTGATGGAAGCAGAGAATGGAGACTTGTGCCTGTGAGCTCAGGGATGCCAGGATCTGGGGGAGAGGCCAGGGACAGGTGGCCTCAGAGCTACCAGAGAAACCAGTCTTAAAGACACCTGGATCTCAAACTTGGGGCCTCCAGGGCGAACAGAATGCATTTGTGCTTTTTACCCACCCTGTTTGCTGCTGAAGCCCCAGAGAAGAACTATAATTTCCAAGATGGCCCTTGTCTTTTACTCTCTGTTAGTTATTCCTGGATCTATGCAATTCATCTCAGCGCTGTCATTCTTAACCCATGAGCGCCATCTTGGGACTGGCAAGACCCAGTGATCCACTGCATTACTGTCTGCTTACCCACTTGGTCTCTGCAGTGGCTCCTTCCAGTCTTATCCCTGCATGCTCACAGCCCCAACTCCCTCTCCTGGCTCAGGGATAACTTTGGTACAAAGAGAAGGAGCAATCAGGTCAGCATCCCATAGCTCCCAGGGCCCTGTACCCTGGCCACCCTGCTTCCCTGGGGCCCTGTAGCTCTACAGTCCTGGGCTATTCCTCCCTTCCCCAATCATCACTGCCTGTCTCTTCTAGTCTTTCCCAGAACAACCAAGGACCCTTCTCTGACCCTGTCTCTGGTCCCTGGGTCTGGGGTCTGCCCCATGGTTCCAGCTGCCTTTGGGGCATGCCCTCCCCTCCTTTTTCTCCCTGGAGCCCCACCACACTTAGGCCATCGCCTCCTCCAGGTGAGTGTTGGGGCTAGCAGGCCGCTGGGTTGGTTCACAGGAGGCGGGAAGAAGTAATTTCAGACAGCAAGACTCATCAATGCTTTTTTTCTTCTTTGTGTGTGTACTGGGGATTGAACCCAGGGGTGCTCTACCATTGAGCTACACTACCAACACCCTATTTTATTTTGAGACAGGTCGTGGTAAGTGGCTGAGGCTGGGCTTGAACTTGTGATCCTCCTGCTCAGCTTCTGGAGTCACTAGGATTACAGGCATGCCCCCACCCGACTCTACCCCACTCCTTATCAACACTTTTAAAAAGAAGGAGGATGGTTGCTGGAGGAAAAAGGGGTCTTAACAGGATTTTAAAAAAAATTGTTGTGGGAAAATGCATATACAATTTTCTACTTTGATGCTCATGCCCAAATTCAAACATTTGCAGCATTGTGTAGCCAAACATCATCACTATTTCCAAAACTGCTTCATCACCCTTGGTGGGATGGAGCCTTTGTGTCCAGGTGGTAAAATAAAAACACATGGCTGAGCTCAGTGAGCCATCCCTCCCCTCCCTCTCCCTCCTGCCCTGGTCACTTGGAATCTACTTTGAGCCCCTGTACTTGCCTGTCCTAGACGTTTTGTCTACACCCAACATACTTACCTGCCCACTCTTGCATGAGGTGAGGGTAGCTGCTCTCCCAAAAGGCAGGCTTGCAGATTTGGAGGGTCAATTCACTTAAGAGAAGGGCTGTGAGGCCCTGTCCCTCTCCCTGTGCCATCCTTTGCCCAGCTTTCTCAGGTCCCAAGGTTGGCATTTTTCATCGTCACCAGTCTGACTCCTTTTTCTATTCATTGGCATCCTTTTTTCTATTAATTCTGAATTGTCTGGGTAAATGCTGTCCCCATCCATTCAGAACTTTATACGGGGTGAATACTCATGAAGAGTGGGTTGAAAAAAGGGAGTCAATGAGTTAAATAAAATGATACTTTATTTAGTCTTCAGTCTCTTAATGTTCTTAATGAAAGACTTCAGAGAGAGCAAAAATATTTAAGAAAATGCATGGTTTTCATAGCCCAAAGATATGACTTTAAACCCAGTCCTATCTGGAATTGTCCCTGTAACTTCCCAATGAGGTCGAATTTTGGTGTTTTCTGGTGGTCAAATATTAGCAAAAGGGTTGAAAGTTCCATGTGTAATGGTTAAAGGAAATGCCAGTGGCCCAGGAGTTGTTGGAGTTTGTCCCCTGTAAGAGAGTCTCACTTGCAAATCTGATGACTGCCACCTCTGTTCTGCTAGGAAATGTCCCTTTTGAGGAAAGCCAAACCTGTGAGGGTGGCAAGGGCTTGATGTCGCGCTCCTTCCACAGGTGGAGGACACGGAAGGTGGTGTCGATGGGAACAGCACCCCTCCAGGGGTGGAAGGGCCAGGAGCTACCTTTGGTTGTCTTGGTGGGGGTTGGATACTTGGGTGTGCCCCTGCTGCCTGGGAAAGCTGGCACAGCACCACCGACGGCGAGCCTTGCCTCTGCTGGTAGAGCTGAGATCCTGACTAAATTTATCTGTTTCCTGCTGCGCCAGATCCAATTTGACTTTGAACTTTTTTAAGAAAACAGCTCCTTGGGTTATGTAACTGGCACCTTAGCGAGTGTGAGTTGGAAGAAGTAATAGGAAATCTTGTAAAAGAAACGGAAGAGCATCCCCCACCTTCTCCCAGGCAGGTGGTGCTGGGGACTGCCAGGCAAGGTGGGGTGGGGTGGCCCTCTTCCTCACTGAGCCACTCTTTGAGGCAGGACCCTGTGCTTCTCCTCCAGGCCCAACAGAGCTTACCCTTCCTGGGCTCATGGCTTCAGGGCACTGCAAGGGGCCTGGCAGATCAATCTGGAACAAATTTAAGATGTGAGTGCTATGAGGATTTGCTGCGGTTATTTCTCAACCCTGGCTGCTCATTAGATTCACCTGGGAGCTTGTAAAAATACCCAGGCGGGGCCTCATTCCACCTATTAAGATGTAATTAGGTCGGGTGGAGCCTGGAGAGCAATGTGTTTTAAAGTTCTCTTGGCATTTTTGATAAGCAGCCAGGGCTGAACTCCACTGAGTGAGGGCATTGCTTTCTCAGACAAGATTTGCTGATGGACAGAAATCCCAAAGCCTCCTTTCTGAATCTGTAAACAGGGGGATTTGGCTTAGAGGATCTCCAATATCCGTTAGTCCTAGTGTGTCAGGATCTGGAATTCTGAGGCTTTGAGCTGTCCCTTCTTCCTTTGTGAAATTCCTGACATTGTTTGAGGTCACAAAAGTTTCCAAAATGACATTAGGATTCTGGCTGTGTTATATTTGCATCCAACCAACACTCCAATGGGGGGAATCCTAAATTCCTGCTGAGCTCATTTATTTATTATTTCCTATTTATATATTTACTGAGCGTGCAGCCCCATGAATTTTCAAACCTAAGCACCTTCATGTATTTCATTAGCTAGAGCAAGACACAGAATTCCTACACAAGAATTCCTCCTCAGCTCCCATCCTGGCCCCCAGGGGTAATGTCTGTGTGACCTCTGTCACCATCCATTGGCCTTGCTTGGTCTTGAACTTGACATCAAAGGCTTTGCACAGTACCTGCTCTTTTCTGTTTGGCTTCTTTGCTCAGCCATGTCTTTGAACACAGTCAAGTTTCTGCAGCCACCAGTGCTTCCATTCTTTCTCCCGCGGTGTGCTATGGACTGAGTGCTTATGTTCTCCCCAAATTCACATGTTGAAGCCCAAATCCTCTATGTATGGTGTAGAGGAAGGTGGGGCTTTTGGAAGGTTCTGAGAAGATCCTAAGGGTGGCGTCCTACAAACGGGACTAGTGCCCTTATGAAAGAGGCCCCAAGAACTCTCTGTTCTTCACCTTGTGAGGACAGGTTGCAAAGGTGGCTATCGGAAAACCAGAAGGCCAGCCCTCACCAGACGCCAGCTCTGCTGGCACCTTGGTCTTGGACTTCCCAGGCTCCAGATCTGTGAGAAATAAATGTTGGTTGTTGAAGCCAGCCAGTCTGTTGTAGAGCCCAAACTAAGACACTGGGCCATATTTCGCTGTAAAATAGGCCAGAATAGACCTATCCTTTCTCTCGCTGATGTAAATTTGAGTTGTTTCTAGTTTTGGACTGCTTTAAAGTTGCTGGGAATCTTCTTGAGTTTATGGTAAATAATATTACCTTGTTTTATTAGACCTTTGCCTTGCGGAGCTGGGCATGCAGGAATACTAAAAGAACGGACCCACAGGAAATCCATATGGTTTTGATGCAATGTGCAGAAGGAAATAGGAACATTGCATTCTAATTGGGCTGTTTGATATTTAAAATATCCTTGACTACTGGTGAATTCCCTGAAAAATGGACTTGTGGAGTTTGTACTGGGCAGGAGTCACTCTGGCATTTCCAAGTCTCATTCCTAATCCTCAGGGGCTGGGAAATAAGGAGGGTGGAGCCAAAAATAGAACATTTTTATATATTATATAAATATAAATAAATATTTATTTATAAATAAATAAAAAATATAAATATTTTATATATTAGGTATAGAATGAACTGGAAGCAGAAGATAACTTCCTCTGCAGGAAATCTCATGGATCAAGGATACATAGCCCACAAGGTCACCTCCTTAGACTCCCAGCTGCTTCTTTGTTTCCAATAACACAATTGCTCTGTCAGCTGAGGTTCTTGTTCATGCCTTTTGAGAAAACATCATGAAGTATATAATGATGTTTAAAAACCTCACATTTAAAGCTAATTTCTTTATTTTCTAATATTTTCTGATGTTGTGGCCACAAAGGGAAAAGTGAAGAGGCTTTGATTGTATAATCCAAGTTCGGTCACATATTTAATGTAGAGAATGTGTAGAGATCTTACATGGCTCTGAGGCTGTGTGCGGACTTCCCTCTCATACTTTTTGGTGGTGTTTTATTTACAACCAGGATCCAATTAGCTTCATGCATTGTGTTTGGTCATGTTCTTTCTTAGTCTCCATTCACCAGTCTCCATTTTTTAATGACATTAAAAAAAACCAGATTGAGACATTTAACTTGCAGAATGTTTTGTCTTCTGAAATTTTCTGATGGTTTCTTCACTGTGTTCCTTATTGAATTCCTGTAGAATTCCTGGAATCAGGAAGTTAGTCTTGAAAGTCTGGTTAGATTCAAATGACAGATTTCCATCAGGGATGTTCAGAGGAGACATTGACACTCTTTTGTCACAGCAGGGCACGTAACATCAGATGGTGTGACTGTGGCATCACTACACCTCATCACCTGATTCAGATAGCCACAGATTTTTTTTCCCTGTTGCTAGTGGGTAGTAAACTATGTCCTTACCCAATATCTGTGCTAAAAAATCTTTTTAGCATTTATTGAACATTTTTGGTCAAATCAGTTTCTTTTTTTCCCCCTAGTTTTATTTGAATTGTTTTTACTTGAATTGTTTTGTCTGCTTTGTTAAATTGACAAAAATCATACATGTTTGTGGTATTCAATGTCTCAACATGTGTGTGTACTGTGAAATGACTAAATGGGGCTAATCAATATATTTATTATATTTCTCTGTGTGGTGGGAACATTAAGACTTACTCAGCAATTTCAAGTGTTCAGTACATTGTCATTAATCACAGTCACCGTGCTGTTGAATAGCTCTTCAGAGCTTGTAATCCACTTTCTCTAAGCATTTACAAAACAGTGGTTTGATTGTGGCTTGTGTGTGACCCCAGAGGGTCATGTGCTGGACACTTGGTCCCCAGGGTGGTGGTGTTTGGTGTTTGTAAGAGGTGGGCCTTGTAAAAGGTGGTCAGGACATTGGGACAACTACCCTCAGGAGAGATTTATGTGGTTCTCTTGGGACCCTGGTTAGTTCCCATCACAGTAGGTTGCTATAAAAATATCAAGCCTGATCCCAGAATCTCTCTGGTTCCTTCCTGTCTTGCCATGTGAGCTGTTCTGCACATGCTCCTGACATTTGATGCCACCTGCCCTAGTGTGATACATCCGGAGGCCTTTGCCAGACACCAAACCCTTGGCAAGGCTGCTTGATATTGGACTTTCAGCTCCAAAATTGTGAGCTAAACAAAACTCTTTTCTTTACACATAAACCAATCTCTGGTATTCTGTTATAAAAATAGAAGATAGACGACTAAGACATGAATAAATTACATTTCTTTTTAAAACAAATTTTTCTTTTTTTTAATGCATGAAGTGAAAATCATACTTAATTCTGGCTCCTGGTTTAATCTTCTCATGTTCCCATTTTCACACACTGTATTCTAGGTACCAAATCTGTCAATCAATGCAATTCAAGACTCACCTCTTTAGGAAATGTTTTAAAACACTTTCAGAGCAGAAATACATTTCTGTTCACCCTCCTTGTCACTAACATCCCAGGGAACCTCTGGGCAGATGTCAAGCAATTCACTTCATGTCCCTTTTGACTTCACCTGTGTCCTGTTGCACAGAGCAGTGGTTCAATACAACTGAACATAAACCTTGTTTCTGGTCAGATTCTTCTTTCTGTCACGAGTTTTCTCTGAGACGCACAGAAACCATTAGTCAGCAGGAACAGTCTCAAAGACTGGTAGGACGCACAACTTGGAGGAGAAGCAGGCTTTGTGTGACACAAGAGTTACTAGGAGAACAAAAAACTGCTGCTGCCATTTGTGACCCTGTTCTTATTTACAAGCTCAACAGGAACATTTCCCAGTCCCAGAGCCTGAGCTCCTAACTGCCTGGCAAGACCTCATGGCCCAGAGTGTTCAGAACTAGTGCCTGCACACAATGTACACAGATAATCCTTGTACAAGGCACATATATATGAAATGCACACACTCATGCACACAGTACATAGAGCCCTAATGTCACATTAGGCCATTCCAACTCCCCCTCCCTGCCCCTCCCTTCTCTTGGATCTCTTAATAATTACAAACCCTGACAGAAACTTGCAAGGCCAAGTGGGGACATCAAAGATGACCCATGGCTGCTTTGCCATTGTGACGTCAGCGTATGGTGCTGAGTCCAGTTTTACTATGTCGGGCTTCTGTCTGCTCCACATTGCACCTTTTCCCTCTGACTAAATCTATAAATGGATCATTTGAAGATAATTAGTCTTATTTATGAAGGAAGATTACACAGTGCCGTTTTTCTTGAATTTAAATGTTGTGGGACATGTGTTTGAATTTCTAGTTCTGAACACAAAGGCAGACACCTTTCATAGTTTGGAAAAACAAGTTCTTAATGTGATTCAGGATACACAGTTCATCTGCTAACTTCTTGATTTTCTTTTATATTTTTATCATAAAA